CTCACACAAACGCAAACGTACATGTGGCTAAAGTACTCCCACAAACTTTAACTGGCTGTAGTGCTCACACACATACCTGACTGTAGTACTTAGCACGCACGCACACACACAGACTCAAACGTGACTGTAGTACTCACACGCACACACACCTGGCTGAAGTGCACACACAGTGCTCACACAGACCTGACTGTAGTACTGTCATATACTTGACTGTAGTACTCTCACACACACACACACACCTGGCTGTAGTTCTGTCACAGACCTGACTGTAGTACTGTCATATACTTGACTGTAGTACTCACACACACACACACATACACACACACCTGGATGTAGTTCTGTCACAGACCTGACTGTAGTACTGTCATATACTTGACTGTAGTACTCACACGCACACACACCTGTCTGTAGTTCTGTCACAGTCCTGACTGTAGTACTGTCATATACCTGACTGTAGTACTGTCATATACCTGACTGTAGTACTGTCATATACCTGACTGTAGTACTGTCATATACCTGACTGTACTACTCACACGCGCACATACCTGACTGTAGTGCTGACACAGACACATACCTGGCTTAAGTACTCACACACATATCTGACTGAAGTTCACACACACATACATACACACCTGACTGAAGTACTCATATAGACACTTACCTTGCCTGTGTCATGAACACACGGACAAACACCTGCACACGTTACCTGAGAGCACGAGGGTGCGATTGATCCCTCTAGTCGGCTGTCCTTTGTTTCAGCGTCCGTCCCCACAGTGACCTGTCCATTAATAATAGAAGCTTTCGTTACGCCTGTCTGACATGACAGCGTGTGACCTTCACCTGCTGCAGAGACGGTTGTCAACTTGGGGCAGAAGAAGACAAGAAAAAGAGGTGTTTGTGTGCGTGTGTGTGAGCCTGGGGGGGGGGGGGGGGGGGGGGGGGGGGGGGGGGGGAGGGGCCTCCACAAAGAAGCCCGTGAGTCCCACATAGAGGGATTTCGGCGTGACACATTGAAGATAACTTATATGGTGATTATGTGTAGTTGCTCCGTGGCATTCCGTGGTATCATCGATGATTTTGATGGAGGTGGTGTGGTTGCTGCTCTGCCATCCGAGTTTACTTTCCAGAACATTTCTTGGGACCCATTATTGGGAAAGTCCAGCTGGGAGCCCACGCATGGTGGAGGATTCGACTTCAAGTACACTAGCCCGACCGGAAGCATCCTAACCATGGCGACATTCCCGCTTTAAAACACCCATACACACACACACACACACGCGCGCGCGCGCGCGTATGGCACTGCTAGTATTAACACCGCTGGAAATATTTAACTGACAGAGGTCGGGCGAGGTCCGTCTGGATGTGAGCGCATTACGTTTCGTTACGAGGTCTTGTCTTCCCCGTCTTGTGGCGGTTGAAACGAGGTTACCAAAGGCCACGCCAGGCCACGTCTTGCAAGGGACACCGAGCCCCCCCCCCCCCCCCCCCCCCACCCAGCTCCCTACCCCCAGCCCGCTCCACGGGAACCCACTCTCGGCGCTCGTCACTCCAGGTCGCGGAGTCCGGACACATAGTCATCGTCCGAGGTGTGCCCACTAGACGGCTAGTTGGCGATAGATGGGCTCCCACTTTCCCGCATGGTCTGCCACCCCACCGCTGGTCGTGTCGTAGTTAGCTCCGTAAACGCCGCCTGGCCAACATAATTATATTTGGATAGCAGTACGCTGGCAAACTTTCCCACATGAACAGATAGACTTGCATCAGTCCGTGGACAAACCATTTGTTGTACTTTTAATCGGAGACTTGCATTCGCAAATATTCTTGAAGCTAAAACTGTCTGTCAACATAATATGGTTTGTGAATATCGTGGCTTAGAAGAGAATTGCCATGTAACGGCAGGAGTCTGTTGACTGGACTAACAGACCGATTCCTCTGGTTCTGCAACTTTGACTTTTTTTTTTTGGTGGTTGTGGTTGCCCTCCGAGCTTTCGATGTTCCTTCCATGGTTTAACGACTTCCAGAAACTGTATTTCTCCAAAAGTAAGTTTCAGGTTGATCTCGCCAGTTGGTCGATTTTTTGTTTTTAATTTATGAGCAGTTTATTTCTGAGGCTGATGTGCTGTGTGAAGTTTGTTTCTTTCTTATTCTTATGTAATGTCTGCAGTTTTTTTTTTTTTTTTTTTGCTCATATAATGTCTGCAATTTGTGTTTTTTTCTACTTATCTAGTGTCTGCAGTTTGTTGTTTGTTTCTTCTGCTTATCTAATGTCTGCAGTTTGTTGTTTGCTTCTTCTGCTTATCTAATGTCTGCAGTTTGTTGTTTTTTTTCTTCTACTCCTGTAATGTCTACAGTTTTTTGTTTTTTTTCTTCTACTCATGTAATGTCTGCAGTTTTCCCCCTGCTCATGTAATGTCTGCAGTTTGTTGTTTGTTTCTTCTGCTCATGTAATGTCTGCATTTTTTGTTTCTTCTACTCATGTAATGTCTGCAGTTTGTTGTTCGTTTCTTCTGCTCATGTAATATCTGCAGTTTTTTCTTCTGCTCATGTAATGTCTGCAGTTTTTTCTTCTGCTCATGTAATGTCTGCAGTTTGTTGTTTGTTTCTTCTGCTCATGTAATATCTGCAGTTTGTTATTTGTTTCTTCTACTCGTGTAGTGTTTGCAGTTTTTTTTTTTGCGCGTGTAATATCTACAGTCTGTTGGTCATTCTTTGGCTGATGTACTGTATACAGTCTGTTGTTTATTTTTTGGCTGATGTACTGTATACAGTCTGTTGGTCATTCTTTGGCTGATGTACTGTATGCAGTTTGTTGTTCATTTCTGTAGTCCAGGTGCTGTGTGGAGTTTGTTTATGTCTGTGATTCAGGTTGTGTCAGCGCTTTTGACCGATTGGATAAAAGTCAGCCAAATGACCTTGTTGACCCCTAACTCATATTTTTTATAGACCAGTCAGCAACCGATGGTTGATAAGGTCAAATTCATGCATGGACGCCTTTACTTCCCAGGATTTTGCCTGGTACCCCATTTTTGGGCTGGGTCGACTTAGAAGCCAGAATTTGGTTGGGAAAAAGAAAATCCACATCAGTGAGATTTAACTCGAGACTTCGTGTATTCTGCAACGGCGGCCGCCCATTTGTGTAGTAGTTTGTTAACATAGCTGGTGCTTCTTCCCGTTTACCGGCTGTAAACTCCGACGAAAAATTCTGGTTGTTCGTCTATCTCTGGACTTAAGTCTAGTTCCAGAATCTGAATGTGGCGTGCACATCCGTTTTACATATCTCAGTTATTTGTATGCAGAGTTAGTCAGCTTTTACGACATGCTTGTTGGGGAGGCAGGCAGAGGGTCTCTCCCCCCCCCCTACAATAGGGCCCCGGAACCCACACGGAAACAACTAGTTCCGTGGGCTGCAGTATTCGCACCAATGGCTCTTTAAATATTAGTTGCTTGGTTCACATCAACAGTTCTAACTCCTTACCACTGTTGTAGTTTTACTTATTGTCATAACTCGTTTGGGTTCTTTTAATTTATTTCAACTCATCTCGGAGGCTGGGGAAAGTCCAGTACTATAGGAGGGTTAGAGTTAGTGTTAGTCGATGATCATTTCACACGCTACCACCCGTATACTGTTGAACTTTCCGGGAATTTCCTACAAAATCTCCGAGTTCCCCGAGATGGCGGTAATAAAAAAAAAAAAAAACCCATTTTATTTTTTTTTTCTTTGTGTTAAGTTGAAAAAAAAAAAGCGTTGCCTTCTGGTAGTTTCTGAATTTCTAACTCAGTGACATAATAGGTATTTATGTTAAAATCTCCCCTCGTAAATCCTTGGCTCACTTATTATGTATACTTGTATCCTCTTGTCTTACTATCTTGAGTATGTTAGGAATTTACCAACCGTTCCTCAGGTATTGAGTTCTGACTGTGTGGGTTCCACTGCCATATGAAGAAGGGGGTTGGGGGCGTTTAAATGCCCAGTGAAGGGTCAGTTCCTACATTTAACAGTTACTAGTTTCCTAACTCGTGTGTTTGGGATGCATTTGACAATTTCATGTGTGTGTGTAATTGTAGGCAAAATTTATAGATAGTTGTGACCCATATATAGTTTTGAACCATAAATAGTGCACCCACCCCCCCCCCACACTTCCCCACAACCCCCTTAGCTCACACCGGGGCCTGGTTTAGACTTGATGAAGCCTTAAGCCATATAAAGTCCCGAGGCCCCTACTGTTTTGAACTGTTAGTCTCAGAAAACCTTTAAAATATATAAGTTAATCAAAGGTAGAAGTTGACTCACGTCAAGCAGATTGTTTTATTCAAATATATAAGTTAATCAAAGGTAAAAGTTGACACAAGTCAAGCAGATTGTTTTATTCAAATAAATAAGTTAATCAAAGGTAGAAGTTGACTCACGTCAAGCTGATTGTTTTATTCAAATTTTAGGCGACAAGTTAGAACAAATAAAAGCCTGAGATCACGTACCCACAATCATCATCCTTTATGAGCCGGTAAACGGCACGTCACGTTGGGTTCGCATTCAAGTTCCCAGCTCCGCCCTGTTGCTTGCAACTGTTTCGATTTCTGAAATGGAGTTTAGCCCAGCATTTTTATACCCGAAATACAATTAATAAAATCAGGATATTTCTGGGGATTTAAGATATGTTTTTGTTTTTTAATTTTAATGTACTAAAAGAAAATGCATTGGGGGAAAAAATATAAATTTATTCGAGACGCTGCAGACTGTAAGGCCCTAAGATTAGCTTAGTTAACGTATGCCTGAATCCAGCACCGATTCCAGACACAGGCATGAGCTACGGCGTTCGTGTTTTGTGCGAACTCTCGGCAGGCGACTAGCCGTTCTGTGGAGAGTGATGTATCCGTGTGCGAAGTACCGGTACAGTGAATTTGACCTGCTCAGCTGTAACTTTTAACACATGTATAGGACCTTGTTTGTGTTACGTGAGTACTGTGTTGTTAATTTGTTACTGGCTTTTTTCTGTTTGCAGTGGAGGAGGAGAACGACCTGCTGGTATGTGGAGACTGCCAGACTCGCTTCCCACTGCACGACATCGTGCACTTTATCCGCCACAAGAAGCAGTGCTGCAACAAGGAAAACGTCCTCTCCTCAGACAAGGCCCCGTCCAAGCCGGATGGCGGAAACAGCGACATCCTCGGAGACAAGAACGATGATGGCGTGGAAGACATGGTCGATGAGGGCGTGGACATGTCCAAAGTGTCCTCCCGGAGAGAGGAGGGCGAGGAGGCGACGATGGACAACGACAGCGAGAATGAGGAAGACTCCATGGACGCGACAGAGCATACGAACTTGGTGATTGGGGAGGTTGTCAACGGAGAGGCGAAGGAGGGAAGGAGTAGGAAGAAAGAGAAAGAGAAGAATGGTTCAGCCAGTGCTGGTTCCTCATCTCGAGAAGGAAGGACGCCGCTGCGGCAGAGGCAGGTGGTGGATGCCGAGTCGAACACCACCCATTCAGGTGAGTCCATCTCTATCACCTCGGATGTAATATCTTTCTCTGTGCTTAGTAATGTCATTTCTTTCCTGTATGTGTGTCTGTGCCCGGTGATGTGATATCTTCCCTGTATGTGTGTCTGTGCCCGGTGATGTGATATCTTTCCTGTATGTGTGTCTGTGCCCGGTGATGTGATATCTTCCCTGTATGTGTGTCTGTGCCCGGTGATGTGATATCTTCCTGTATGTGTGTCTGTGCCCGGTGATGTGATATCTTTCCTGTATGTGTGTCTGTGCCCGGTGATGTGATATCTTCCCTGTATGTACCCAGTGATGTAATATCTTCCTTATATGTGTGTCTGTAACAAGTGATGGGATATCTTCCCCGTATGTGCGTCTGTGCCCGGTGATGTGATGTCTTCCCTGTATGTACCCAGTGATGTAATATCTTCCTAATATATGTGTCTGTAACAAGTGATGGGATATCTTTCCTGTATGTGTGTATGTGCCCAGTGATGTGATATCTTCCCTGTATGTAAGTCTGTGCCCAGTGAAGTGATATCTTCCTTATATATGTGTCTGTACTCTTGTACTCAGTGATGTACTATTTCATGTATGTATACCTGTACTAAGTGATGTGATATCTTCTCTGTATGCATGTCTGTACTTGGTGATGTGATATCTTCCCTGTATGTTGTATGTATGTCTGTACTCACTGGCGTAATATCTTTCCCCTCTGTTGTTTGTTTCTCTTGATGTCAGTGCTGTGTCATTGTTGCCCTTGTATTATTACAATCTCAGATTTCTTCCACATAAGATGCTTCACTTATATTTTGTATGTATGTCTGTCCTCCCTGTATGATGTGTGTTTCTCTATGACGTGTTACATGTATGTGTTTTGCCTATGTCTAAATCTGGTATAATATCTTCCTAGGATGTTGCCTGCTTGTGGGAATCACTGTATACATTATGTGATGTGTTGTCTCTGTATACTGTATGTATGTGAACCATTGATTGTGTGTTTCTGTCTGTCGGCCCATCCGTCCGTCTGTCTGTCAGTCGGTCTGTCTACCTATATGTCTCGTATCCAGCTTTCTGCTTGTCTGTCTACATATCAATATCTGCATGTCTATATCTACCTTTCGGTCTGTCTACCTGTCTGTCTACTGCTGTTTGTGTCTGTCTCTGTCCCCCTCTTTGATCCGCCTTTATTCAAGTTTGTTTTACCTTTGATAATTGTGATTTGCTTCTGGAACAAGACTAAAATCCAGACGTGGATGAACAACCAGAACTTTCCGCCTGTTTTCAGTTGGTGAACACAAAGAAAAGAATGGTCTCCAATTTAAATTCTGTAGGATGTATATTTGATTGCATCTGGTTTTATCTTATATGGCTCGGTCTCTCTCCGTCTGCAGCTTGCATCGTACAAAGCTCGAACTTCGTAACTCCAGTGACCGTCCCCGGGAATCTCCATAAATAATGCGCTTGTAAACATCTGTGAACCGAACGCACGACTTTCAGAGCGCAAAGTGAATGGCTTGACCATTTCGCCATTTGTCTCAAAAAGGTTGTTTATAACCATGTTTTCCCGTTGTTAATCTAAATAATAATCACAATGTGATTTTGTATTTCAGAAAAAGATTCATTTTTGTGCTTCATTATATCTTGCTTTCATCTAATATGTTCATGTAACTATAGTAGTGCATCTGACCAGATGCCAGGCAATAACTCCTCGCCCAATATGGGACGCAGTTGTTGTTTTTTTTTTAAATATATTTTTAATGCCCCACCCCGGCTGTCGGCCAGGGCCCTAAATATAACCTACGTGTTGAACCGGGTTTCTGGGATTTGTACCTGGGGGATTGTCAACCTAATGGGGGCACTTTGTGTCTTTAGGTGTCGTCATGCTGTTCTGATAAGGTTGAACATCAGTAAGTCAATCAGACAGCGATAGATCGTACAATATTTTGTTTGTGGTCCCATTATTCAGTAGGAATATCGGCGAGCGTATTGACGTCTGTCCTGATGGACCTCTGGCGAGGGTCATGGCTTCTCTCTCTCTCTCTCTCTCTCTCTCTCTCTCTCTCTCTCTCTCTCTCTCTCTCTCTCTCTCTCGCTGTCCCACTTCCCCGCTTCTATCCATAAGCTTTGTGTTTTAATTATGTCCAGCGAATAAATGACCCCTCCCCGCGGCCTGGTTATCTTAATGATATTGACATTTCTCTTTGATCATTCAGTGCCCTCAGACCAGTGTCCGTTGACCTGGTCCGTCCAGGAACTTAAGGGCCCCAGGGACTTCCTAGTGTCCACTGGAGGGTCAGTGGTATTTTTCTCTCCTGGTCAGTTAGATCGGCGTTAATTTGTACGAGCTTTGTGTGTGCGTGCGTGTGCGCGCGAGCGTGTGTTTGCGTGTGTATGGTGTGATTTTTATAAAGACGTGTTCTGTCATTTGCTATTTAGCAACATCGTGTGCCGTGCCAATACACATAGGTTGTCGTGTTTCGCCATATCACACAATAACTGAAATCACGGATCAGGTCAGTGTTCTTGTCTCGCCACAACCGTTTAGATAAGCCGTGCATGTTTTGCTATAGTAGTCAGATTGGCTATTAAAGTAAAAGAACCATTTTCAACGCTTTCAGACGTATTGGGCACATAGGGCTAGACCTATATTTTATAGGCCAGTCGGTACTCGGGAGTAATGCGGTCACTATCTCAACGGCCGCCTTTACTTCCCATGACTGTAACTGGTACCAGTTTAAGGCTAGGTGGATCTGGGCGCCAAAGTCATTAAAATATTTTTTTATTAAATCCGGCTCCCTCAGGATCTGAACCTGGGACCTTTGGATGCGAGGGCCCAGCCGCTACACCACGGTGGCTGCCAAGATTATTTAGACCTGTCTCCACAAGGTCTGGTACCTGTCTCCACAAGGTCTGGTAGCTGTCTCCACAAGGTCTGGTAGCTGTCTCCACAAGGTCTGGTATCTGTCTCCACAAGGTCTGGTACCTGTCTCCACAAGGTCTGGTAGCTGTCTCCACAAGGTCTGGTATCTGTCTCCACAAGGTCTGGTATCTGTCTCCACAAGGTCTGGTACCTGTCTCCACAAGGTCTGGTAGCTGTCTCCACAAGGTCTGGTACCTGTCTCCACAAGGTCAGGTACCTGTCTCCACAAGGTCTGGTAGCTGTCTCCACAAGGTCTGGTACCTGTCTCCACAAGGTCTGGTACCTGTCTCCACAAGGTCTGGTACCTGTCTCCACAAGGTCTGGTAGCTGTCTCCACAAGGTCTGGTACCTGTCTCCACAAGGTCTGGTACCTGTCTCCACAAGGTCTGGTACCTGTCTCCACAAGGTCTTGTAGCTGTCTCCACAAGGTCTGGTACCTGTCTCCACAAGGTCTGGTAGCTGTCTCCACAAGGTCTGGTACCTGTCTCCACAAGGTCTGGTAGCTGTCTCCACAAGGTCTGGTACCTGTCTCCACAAGGTCTGGTACCTGTCTCCACAAGGTCTGGTACCTGTCGTCGTCGTGTTGATCTTGTGGTTTGTCCGGGGCGGGACCGTGCACACCACGCTGGCTTACCAGGCTATCTAGTGTCTGACCAATGAGACAGTGTCTGTATTGTTCTTCTGCGAGAGTAATTAGGTCACATGTCTTAACTTCCGGTTTCTATTAGATTTGCGGTAAATTTTCAACTTCTGTGAGATTTAACTTAAATGTCCAGCTTCTGTGAGATTTGCGGTAAATGTCCAAATTCTGTGAGATTTAACTTAAATGTCCAACTTTTGTGAGATTTGCCCTAAATGTCCAGCTTCTGGGAGATGTGCACCTGCCATCTAATGTATAATTTGGGCAACAGCACCACGACCCTCCAGAGTTGTAACTTCTGCGTGCCCAGACTGTCCCCTTTGATTTATTACCTAACTGTGTGGAACTAAAGAGGGATTCGACAACAGTGAACTTTTGTTTGAGAGTTCATCTGTTGACAAAGTTACCAAAGACGGTAAGCACGAGAAAAGAGAGGTGGAGGTTAGGTTGGCGAAGGCGAGAGTGGGAGGGAGGGCGGGGGGCTGGGGGGGGGGGGAGACGGAACGGAAGAGAGGATAAAATGAGTAGAAGAGCAGCAGGATGGAAAAGCAGTTGGGGTTGAGTAACCGGAAGATCTTTACGTAAGCTCATCTCTGATCAGGTAGTACGGACCATAGAGATGGAGGTTAAGGCAGTGTCCGTGCTGGGCTGTCCTTGCCTCGCCCCTGAAGGTGGAAGACGTCATTCATTTACAACGACTACTGGCCATTGGTCAGCTATGGTAATACATTGTATTGACTGACCGGACCGTATCCTGGTTTTATTGACCGCCCTGTCTCGCACAGTCCACTCATGTTTCCTCTCCCGGGACAAGAACGGACCAATAGTGTCTGACCAGTGGCCGGCTTCTCTCTCTCCATTACTACCTTGGGTTTAGTTTCATGTTTATTTTCTTTTTGTCGAGTCTTCCTTGTCTGATTTCTTGGTCAATTTGCGTCATTCTCATCTCATTTTCTACTCACATACGCACGTACATAATCACAGCACACACATAAACATACACTACACCTCTTAGTCTTCAAACTGGGCTAAAGCGCTACCATAGAAATGGGAGGTAATCATTGGCTAAGACAAGTAACTCTTGCTTAAGTCCAGTAACTGGGTCGGTCTGTGGTACCTCATCGACCGGTCAGATCGATTGTCTGTGTTGGACATGTCTGCGGGGACTGATGGCAACTGGGCACAGACTAGGTCAGTCTGGATATCAGTCTTGTTTCATTATTGAGCAAGGAGGAATAGCGGGTTGGTCTCTCACTCCTGTATCATTATTACACGAGGAATATCGTGTTGGTCTCTCACTCCTGTATTATTATTACAAAATTAGGTTGGCGTGTTGGTCTCTCACTCCTGTATCATTATTACACAAGGAGGGTTAGCATGTAGGTCTTTTACTCCTGTATCATTATTACACAAGGAGGATTGGCGTGTTGGTCTCTCACTC